GATGTCCAGTTGGGGGACATCATACTCACAGCTACAGATGGTCTTTTTGACAACATGCCAGACTACATGATTTTACAAGAACTCAAAAAGCTCAAGGTACCAAACATCTACGAACAACAATTCCCTCTGTCCACTTTTCTGTCCTCCAGCAGCACTAATACAAATTGTGTCCTCTTTCAGAATACCAACTATGAAAGCATCCAGCAAACAGCCAAGAGTATTGCAGAACAGGCCCATGTTCTAGCATACGACCCCAATTACATGTCTCCATTTGCACAGTTTGCCTGCGATAATGGCTTGAATGTCAGAGGTGAGATATATTCATTTTAAAATGAGAAAGCCTTTTCCATGACTTACTTTCTCTTTACAGTTTTCTGTGAGATAATGGTCTTGTTAATAGTCATCATTGGCATTAAGAGTGTATGCATTTGCTCTGACAACAAATTGATTACAATTCTTTGCATCTACATTTACGCATTTGACATGCATTTACATTGCATTGAAAGCATGCAATTTATCAGATCAATGCACTTTGACCAAAATTCTGTTTCAATTCAGGGTTATTATCGTTAACTAAAACTACAATCATAAAAGTTACTTGAAATTAAATAACCATTAACTGAGTAACACCTTACAATAAGGTTTCATTTTGCCAACTAGGGTTGGGCGATGTCTACAGTGAAACATCACGATGGACGGATTGCGGCTCAACATCGTGATGTCTATCAGCCATCGGTGATGGACGATGGCATCGTCTATCGGCCCAACCCTATTGCCAACATTAGTTAACTACATTAGTTAACCTAAATTAACAATAAAAAATACTTCTAAAGCTTTAATTAATCTTAGTAAATGTTGATTCCAACGTTTACTAATACATTATTAAAATGAAAAGTTGTATCTATTAATGTTAGTTTATGGGCCTGAACTAACATGGACTAAAACTAAACAGTTGTATTTTTACTTAATAATGTTAACAAAGATTAACAAATACTGTAACAAATGTATTGCTCATTGTTAATGTTAGTTAATGCATTAAATACAGTTAACAAATGGAACCTTATTGTTAAGTGTTACCTAAAAAAAAACTTCACTATTTTATTTTAGTCAGTTGCCAAAGCAACATTTCTCATTTTCATTTACTTGAATTAAGTGCATTAAATTATTTTCATGCATTATATTATTTTCAGTTACTTGAATTAAATGCATTAAATTCATTATCAGACTGATGCATTTTGACACTCCTAACTGACGCGCATTCAGTGGCACGGGTTTGCAAATGTCGAGTAAATCTTTAATGCTGACATTTGCCTGACAAAATTCCCTCTCCGTTTTCTTTCCAAAGGAGGAAAACCAGATGACATCACCGTTCTGCTGTCAATTGTAGCAGAGTACACAGACTAACACTCGCAAGGGCTGCAAAATGCTTCTCTTGTTGTCTTCCTCTCAGTCACTGGACTGGCAGCTGTTTCCTGCTGGCAGGATTGAGGGCTGTTTGAGTTTTCTGTTTCTGGCAGGGACTTGGAGCCCACATCTGTTCCTTGGGTTCTTCGGCCTTACTAGACCGTACTTCAAATGATGTCGTCTACAGGCTCAAGTCAAAGACCACCTTGATACGAACTGCAAACACTGAGTTGTGTTTGACAAGGGCTACAACAGGTGTTGAACACTTCTCCAGTAAGAATCACAAGTGTTTCTGTCGTCCAGAGATGAATTAGTTGGTAATGATGACGTTGTGAAGCCAAAAATGGAGAAAGAATGAGCAAGAAAGGAATAAAAATCTGATTGGGGACAGGCGTCCCAAAAAAGGGGGAAAAAGTGTCCGTATCAAGAAGAACATTAAGATGCGTCATGCAGTGGGAGTGTTTAACTTTGCAAAAGGCCAATGGGAGATGCGCTCAAGTTACATGAGTCTTGAGATGGCACGTTTTGCCTGTTTACTTTCCATTTAAAAAGACACCCGATCTGTAACCTCTGGATAGCCATAGGCTGAATGCCAGCTGAGATGTGAAGTTGATAGGCACGAGCGACTACTGCAAACTCTTCACTAGCTAATGGACAGTTTGTATGTTGGGAATTCAGTCGAGGCATAACTTTACAGTACTAGATTGATTATGAAGCTTAACAACATCGAAATACTGTCAAAGTTAACGATCAACCATAGAAATGCCTTTCCTTTGAGATATTAATTAGTGGAGACGCTTTCACAGAACAAGTTCTCATTACACGAAATCAGAGTTGGATGGGTGTTTAGTTTAAGCGATTCAAAGTACAGGGCAAATTACAGTTTGCTTGGGAAGACAGAGAAACCTTTTCCTTTCATATTTATTCATTTAAAACAGTATTACGTTTTTAACGTAATTACAGCAGTACAACAGACTGCAAGGGATTGTGGGATGTGTTGAGAGGAAAAGCAGTCCCACTTAAACCACTTTTAAGAGGTTCATATGCTTGTGGTGCGTTTATGTATGTGAGAGGAACGTTTACGATGTGTAGATATTTGGAAAACTGGCTGTATATTTATGTATATATGTGTGTGTGTGTGTGTGTATATATATATATATATATATATATATATATATATATAAAAAATTTACAAATACATTTCTAATTGTACAACTGTAATTGTATCAGAGCTGGGTGCTTTTTTTGACCTTTAAAAATCAATTTTGCAGTTTACTTAACAGTCCTGCTGTGTGACAAATGTATTTTTAAAAGAGCAAATGCTGCATGTAATCTCTCAATTAATCTGACTTTCACAAGAGGCATGTATAATAATTAAACGAATAGTTTTAGATGAAGTATAGCATGTCACACTGCAGGAGAGCGATGTCTACCACCCACACAGACACCAATGCTTGCTTCAGCCACGTAGCTATTCTAATCACACAAGCCATTTGCACCCTGATGAATTAACTGGATTACACTATCGGATGAATCTTCAAGGCCACCTGCAGAAAAGGTGATCTAGTTCTATAGTGATTTCAAATTTGTTAAAGGAATAGATCACCCAAAAACGAAAATTTGCTCAAGACAAGACTCACCCGCAGGCCATCCAAGATGTAGATGAGTTTGTTTCTTCATGGCAACAGATTTGGAGAAATGTAGCATTTCATCACTTGCTCACCTATGAGTTTTTAACGTAATTACAGCAGTACAACAGACTGCAAGGGATTGTGGGATGTGTTGAGAGGAAAAGCAGTCCCACTTAAACCACTTTTAAGAGGTTCATATGCTTGTGGTGCGTTTATGTATGTGAGAGGAACGTTTACGATGTGTAGATATTTGGAAAACTGGCTGTATATTTATGTATGACATGTATGCATTTGGAAAGTGTAGGCTATTACACAGCAAATGTATATGAGAGTATATTTGATAATTGTGTGGATTCTGTTAAAATATTTTTCTTGCTTTTTTTGTAAAATTTAATTTTAAAATATCCCTCGAGGTGTTTACGCACAAAGCTAATGCTAGCACTGAATGCTTTCAGTGGGTATGTCATGGATCACATGACCTAATAAAGTTATATTTTTATAACTTCTGTAGGTCACAATTTGTCACAGTAAATTACTGTTTCTGTTTTAGAGTAAATATTAAATTGAAGAGTGTAAATTATGTTCTGTGATAATGTCACAGATGCTGTCAATAGTTGTATTTAATGTGAAATATTTCTTCAAAAGAAATATTAATATTTAATAATCTTAAAAAATACATTCCTAATAATCTCATATATATATATATATATATATATATATATATATGTGTCAACAGATTTGGAGAAATGTAGCATTTCATCACTTGCTCACCTATAGATCCTCTGCAGTGAATGGGTGCCGTCAAAATGAGTCCAAACAGCTGATAAAAACATCACAATAATCCACAAGTAATCCACACCACTCCAGTCCATCAGTTAACGTCTGGTGAAGTGAAAAGCTGCATGTTTATAAGAAAAAAAATCAAAAAAATTCAAATAATACATTTGTTTTCAACTTCAAACCACCGCTTTCAGCTAAAAATACCAGTACTCTATCTATAGTATTACTTTCTCCATTGAAAAGTCATCTCGTCTGAATCAGCAGAGAAATCTGCACAGATCAAACACCGTCTACAAGCCAAAACAGCTCTAAACAAATATGTGGGTGGATTTTGATGTGAGAGGAAAACAAGTGATGGACTTTTTCACTGGAGGAAGCCTGATTATGGATCATATTTTGGCCAGAAGTGACAGTTTAAAGTTAAAAACGTCTTGATGGTTTTTTTCTTATAAACATGCAGCTTTTCACTTCTCAACATATTAATTGATGGACTGGAGTGGTGTGGATTACTTGTGGATTATTGTGATGTTTTTATCACCTGTTTGGACTCTCATTCTGACGGCACCCATTCACTACAGAGGATCCATTGGTGAGCAAGTGATGGAATGCAAATCATTTTTGGATGAACGATTCCTTCAAAGCAGATGCTTAAATAAGTCATTTATATGTGGACCATTGGTAGAATGTGTCCCCCTGAAGAGAAAAAAAGTGACAAAATGACACACTTCAGCTTTAAGGCTTCCATTTCTTTGCATTCTTACATGCATTATGCCGGTATACATTTTATAGTGTAACTGCAACAGTTTGTGGTTTTCTTACATTTTATGCTCAACTGAGGTGTAAATTGTTACAAAGGGCATGAGAGCCTGAAATACTACGCACATTACCATCACCAGTAAGTGGCTGGAGACTAAATTTGTTTGCCAGCAGTCAACAAAACCAGCAGTAATGGTTGTGACTCCAACATTATGAGCATGAACTAATGCAATAGTGATTGATTGAACCATCACATTAAGAGCTGAAATGACAAAATGCCTCTAAAAGTGGTGCTAAATGAAGTTATTCTGTTTTGCATGGCTGTCCAGCTGAACTCGGACATGATCTAATTTGTCAAGCTTCTAACTGACATATTTTTCAATTCAACAGTCACGTGAAGCACAAGGCTTTCTCTGGATAATGTGGCGAGGTATGTATACAATAGCAGTTATTGCTGCAGTCTTATATAACGATCGTTTCTCGAGCAGCATTTTAAAGCAGTGAGTCAAAGCTTCCTCTGACTCATCGGTGGACACACAGAACATGGAGTCCTTCAATCCTCGAGAATGTGTTTGTTTTGAAGTTTTGATTTATATTCTCCATGGTGACCGAAGTCATCTGAACTGTGTTTAGGTAGGCATTCCTCAGCTTTGCAACAGAAAGTGATTGTGCCCCACTTGCCCTACTTTACTACTGTCTTATAGTTTTCCTTTCATCTCTTCAAGAACAGTTTTAACTCATGAAAAAAGTTTTTACATTACAAAGATGTTTGTGTAAGAACAGAAACAGAAGCAAACCGCTAGTTTTCACCTTTCTTACATTAGTAAAGTAATACAAGATGTGCCCTAACAAGACCTAGCGATGGCCTTGACAGCAATATTTAAGGAAAACGTCAAATTCAAAACATAGTAACCTTAAAACAATCTAAACAGCAGAACTGTGTTAACACACTGTGGGTTGTCTTTATTATCTACTGAATTACTGTAGGCTACATCATGCTGTAAAGTCCATGCATTCTTGCAGTAGGTGTTACCTGCATCAGGTTAGCTTATGTTGTTACCCGAGTCACTCCTCTGTTCCTCCGTCCTCCTCTGTGTCACTGGCACAGGCCAGGCTGGGTAAATCTGCAGTTTTACTGTCCACTACATCAGTGTATACAGCCCCGAAGAGCAGCGAGCGGATCTGAAAAGAGACCCTCGAGTTGTACAGTAAATGCAAACATCTGAGTAATTTTTGACCAAATTGTAGTTGGATCATTCTACTAAAATCGTTTGATCTAAATGCAATGTATGGAGAACATTTATTTCTTCATCTCTCTATCATCTTTGTATTGCATTGCATTATACTGTATGTTTTGAAACTGCAGAGCTTTGATTATAAAACTAAGCATTTAAATATCATCTTACAGTCTTATTTAAGTAGTCTGCTCTACTCAGGCTATTATTTCATATGTCAGTCTTTACAGGGTTAAAGGATGGATGAGTTGGAGTGGAAGAATTTTTTTTTTTTTTTGGGTCACTGTAATTTTGTACTTGTGTTACTTCACAGTTTTGAAGATTTTGCTATTATTTTACTTGCGACTGATAAAAAATAAGAATTTAGGCCTGATATGCAATTTACGGTTTGTCTGATAGAAGACTCTAACCTTAAAAGTGGCTGGTGTTACTGGTGTAGTCAAGGCCGATTCAGGTGCCAGTCTGGGTCTTGGCAGCATCTCTCCAGGTGTCTGAAGCTGAATCATCTTCCTCATTTGAAGGGTTGGATTAAAAACTTCACTGCCCTGACTGGAAGCCACCTGTTCCCCATCAGCGACGCACACCTCTGTCTCCATAGGGCCTTCACATGTGGAGACTTCTGCTGTGGAGGTCTTGGGGACGTTGACAGGACAGTCATCCCTGAAAAACAGACTGCTATTTGTTGTTGTTGTTGAAGCTACAATTTAATAATTTAAACATGCCCAATGAATTCATTGTTTTGGGTTCTTTTTGGTTTTTCTAAACAAGCAGCATTAAACTCTCTGCTGTCCCCTCCAGCTCTGGAGAATAAGGTTTATTATTATTTTTTTTTTTATTGAACTGTAGAAAGTTAACAAACATAATTGGCCTGGTATAATATTGAACATTTCTTAGTGAAACAACAGACAAGCACCATAAAACAAGACAAAGGAAATAAGAAACAGGAAACAAAAAACATTGGTGGGTGGAATAAAAAAAAGGATTTTCTGCAAATTCAAATTACAGAAATTTAAGGCATAATTTTTCATTCATTTAAAAAAAAAAAAGAAATAATGACATAGTGCCTTGTGATTATGTAGAAATTTGGTCAAGTATTCAACAATCTATTTTTATGTCAAAAGATTTTTCCAAGGATAATATTTGTGTTAATCACTAAATCTCAATATAATAAAAACATTTTTAAATTTCGGAAATAAATAGTTCATGCAAGTCCTCCTGAAGCATGAGGTTTACTGGAGTTTTAGGTAAATTCATCTAAAGTTTGTTCATTTTGTTAACATACCCCAGCAATGAAAGGGGCGACCCTCGTTACGTAGAATAAAACACATTTATATACTAAAACACTGAAATGACTGAAGTCTTCATCTTATGTGAGTGCATATTATCTGAAACATGCTATTTATTTTTAATGGGTGAAAACCTTTTTACTGAATGTCTGTCTGTAAGCAAAGAGTTTGCACCAAACCCTGAGGGATGTGAGTGCTATGGGTAACAAAACACGTGCAGGCATGTGTGAGGGACAGCAGAGGCAAAAGAAAGATGGGACGAATCACATGGCGATAGTGGGGGAGGGTGTGTGAAGAAAAGATGAATGCATGCCTCTGAATTAGTGAATTGCACCCCGGGGGGGCGGGGCATTACTATGTTCAGATTTGGCCCTGTACCAGAACTGCGGCCCACGGGACAAATGCTCCACTGCACGTGACAGCAAAGCAACTAGAACAACTGTTTCGACCTAGCCAGGATCTGTTTATCTACTCCACTAAGAGGGAATTTGGGCACTATTTAGTAAAATTATCTCATTTACTCAAAATGAACATTATGTCATAATTTACTCACCCTCATGCCGTTTCAAACTTGTATGAGTGCCTGTCTCTTTGCTGTCTGCATCGGTATATTTATGCTATTTTTCATCTTTTAACATTTTTTTAAAGCTAGTTTTTGTTTCCTTTTCTTATATTAATCCATTGTGTGGCTCCTCATTTGTAAGTTGCATTAGATTAAAACATTTACTAAATAAATAAAAGTGTAAAATTTTATAATGCTCATTGACTGACAATTTGATCTGCTCTTATTAATCCTTAAGCTATATACTTGCTTTATTGCAACTTTTAAAAATTATATTTAATTATATTTATAATATATAACTGTGTGTGTTTACAGTACACACACACACACACAGACACATATATATAATTTTATTATTTTTTAGAAATTTGTTACATAACATTTTTATATTTTGATTTTTAATTATAATTAGATGTATAATTAGATTATAGATTAAAATAATCTAAAATAAAATATAAATTTATATTTAAAGTTAGATTATTTTTATATTTATTTTAATATTTATAATTGTATTGTTTTTATAATTATAATTGTAAAATTATACTAATTACTTATATTTATATTATAATAATTACACTAATATAATTTATCATATATAAATTTCATATGTATTTATAATTTTTATATACATTTAAATATAATATAATATATATTACATATAAATTAAAAAAATTATATATTTTTTTAAATTATATATAATAAATTAATACATATATTATATTTAAAAGTATATAAAAAATTATAAATATATATGAAATTTATATATGATAAATTATATTATTGTAATTATTATAATAATTTAACAATTTTCAGCCAAAGAATCAACATAAATGGCCTTGTTTTTGGATGACAGACTTTGTCTTTAAACTAAACTGCTTTGCTGACATCTATGCAAATAAACCCTTTGCCCTTTTAAAATCAAAGATAAAAAATCAAGAGTTTTTATTTACTTTAGCTTTTGTTAGCATAATTATTGCAGGTAGGCTGTTTAAACAAACACCACGAGGAGGCGGGCAACTTCAGTGACATTACTGCCTGGACTGGATGAGCTACAGTGATAATTAGAGACAGGCTAGCATGTCACAGCTCTAGTTCTGCGTTACCCTATATAGGTGAGACATGAAAGACTAGAGCACTGAAGCTGTCACTGAACTCAACGCCCTCTTGGTGCATATGGAAGTGCCTTTATGTCACAGTGATTTGCATTCGCATTGCAACTATAATTTGACATTACAGGAAAGAGATTCTACGAAACAATGTTACAGGGTGGAATATTGTATCTAAATGGGCAAAATAAATAAGAATATTTCACCCAAAAACTGAAAATAAACCTCACATTGCGCCCGTAAGACTTTCTTTCTTCTGTGGAACACAAAAGCATTCACACAAAAAGCTATCATATAGATTCAGATTATAAAAGATATTCACAAAAGAAAGAAAGGCATACAGGTTAGGAACAACATGAACGTAACTAAATCATGACAAAATGCTCATTTATGGGTGAACTGTTCCAGTCAATTTTACACATACAGTACATTCATGTTAATATGAGGGACAAAATGAAATACCCAGGTGCAGGTTGAGATGGGCTCTCGTGGTTTGGATCAGTTAAGGTGGACAACACAACATGGGCCTCCAGCGTCATGTCTTTTACAGTGAAGGATACGGGCCTGAAAGAGATCAGAATCAACTGACAGCATTAGCTGGTTATGTATAGTATGCTTACTGTATGATTTTATGCTGAATGCATGTGGGTGTAGTATCAAAAAAGTTAAAATACTTACTGTCCAGCCACACCAAACTGACTAGACACTGGTAGACCATAAGACTCGGCAAAGGACAGCAGCCCCTAAAAGCAATTTAACAATAAATAATTAATAATAATTATAAATTAATAATACTTATAAATAGGGATGCACCGATACCGATACCAGCCCAATACTGAGCTCCTGTACTCGTACTCGTTAAAATGCCCCGATACCAAATGCCGATACCACACAGCATGTGTTAAGTGCCATATTCAGACAATGAGCGATATGCATCCTTTATTGTGGAGTAACAATGGTCCAGTATATTACTGTCTCTGGTGGGACATGTGATGTGCTATCTGTATTTTGGCAGTTCACGGGAAAGATTTGCTTTATTAAAGTCCCCGAGAATGATTAAAACGGAGTCCGGGTGTTGTTGCTCTGTCTCTGTGATCTGATCAGCGAGTTTCTGTAAAGCTGAGCTCACGTGTGCTTGCGGAGGAATGTAAATACTCACGAGAATGAACGAGTGCTTTGCTTTAACGAATCACGAACAACTTTGACGTGTTCGTTAAACTTTAAAGAACGAATAACTTTGCGCATAATTATGCATAATTAAGTGTGAAAATAACCAAAGATTATTCAGACCAGATATAATTTTTGATATTTTTTTTTACTAGTGGGTGCAGGACACTA